GTATGTTGAACCATCCTTGAGATCCTGGGATAAAACCCACTTGGTCGTGGTGTATAATTTGTTTGATGTGTTGCTGGATTCTGTTTGTTAGGATTAAGGCCTGGGAATTCTTACTTTTTAAGTCCCTGAAGTTGATTTTAATGTGCTGCCTGGGTTCAGAACTGCATTATCTTTTTCTTATTTACATATGTTCATAGATAATTTGGGCATATGCAGATTTACCCCAAACCCTCTCAGTAATGGTAGTTGGCAGAAGTGATTAATCTTACATTTGCAGGCTCCAAAATAATCCAGCTGTAGCTGATGCCCCTTTTTGGTCCCCTCCAGTCTGCACTTAGTGGCAAACAGATGGCAGGAACTAGGGTAGGTTTGATTGTCAGTGCCACAGACCTAGGAAAGATAAACAAGAGAAAAAGCTGAGAGAGCTAAATGCTCCTTGGAAAACACTCGACTCTGCATGTAAAGCTCACAGGCTGTCTGATAGATAAATAGTGCTGTGCCAAAGATGTAGTCAGCTAAGTGAGACTATTACAATCATAATTCTCCCATTTGGCATACAAAAAGAAATCAAGTAAACTATGCCAGTGGTGATGCCATTTTAGTTGTGGATAAGCTCAGTAGAATGAAAACTGCAGATGTTCCAAAGCTAAACTGTTTTTAAGATGAATTCTACAGCTCAAATGCCATTGTTACCCTTTTATGGTGCAGTTGAAATTTTTTGATTTTTTTGGCATTTATTCCTGTTCAATATTATGTCAAATATTATATAACTTGTGCATCTTATCTGCTTTTTTTTTTTTAAGAAAAAATTTCAACTGCAAACTATTTTTCTTCAAATCACTAACCTTTTGAAGCCTCTTAAAGACTATTTTGTAGACTACTTACTTGGTCAAGGAGTTTTGTTGGAGGACAAGTCGCTGGCTCTTGGCAGACACAGTGGGGTTTTCCGTTTTGGTCTGCCTTACAGACGTGCCCTCTTTTACACTGGAAGCTCAGGCAAGCATCTAGCAGGAAAGTTTGAACAGGAATCATGGACAAAGCTAAACTGAGTATTTGAATGCAAATTCATTCTGACAATTAATTTGATTTCTACTTATAAGGGAATTAATTCTTGTCAGAAGCAAACGATTTAGAGAAAAAGAATTCTAGCTTTTTCACTAATATCTCTAGAGAACTTCCAGTTTGTAAACACTTTTACCCATAGTTGTAGATCAAATATGCTCAAGCAACTATCAACAGTTTATGGGGGAGGATCACCGTAATATGAAGGAAGGGAGGGACAAGTCCCCAGTGGCAGATGCCACTTCTTCCTTGATCACAAGCAGTTTCTTGGGGCACACTCACCAACACCAGGCACCCTCGTGTTCCCTTCGCTGGACATGTCATCTCCATTTGAGGATCTCTCTGCTTTCTTCACCTTTTGAATAATAAAGTGGAGGTTAAATCTATTAAGGGAGAGCCATTACTTAATTTATATTCCCACTGTGCAAAATTTCAGGGTTTTTATGCCCAAATAATTTCAGATCTCAAAAAGGGAAACCAGTTGCAATTGTGGAGATTGATGGTAGTCCTCAGAAAACAGGCCTTGTTTCTATCTTCATCAGTTGGATTTAGTATGGGGTGGGGGGTTACTCATTAAGACTTAGAATCTACCCTTTGGATTTGGGAAATCCCTCGAAGTGTAGTATTATCTTGTGATTCTGTGGTTAAGGCAGGGTTGCATTGGTTGTCATCTCTATGAAGTTGTTAGCAAAGTTTTCTCACCAGGTTTTAAAAGTGTAAGAAAACTCCTACCTTAACATGGCAACAGCATTCTCAGTAATTCAGTTTACTATTGACCTTGCTCACCAAAAGCCGTGCCTAGTCCTCCTGGAGGGTGGCTGCTTGGGCTTGGCATGAAAGCTCCAAGTGACTAAACAACTGAATAGCAAGATGCTTCCTCCTTCATCCCACCCAGCTGCAGTTTCCAGATTATCGTTTTGGTATGTGTTTGCTTAATAAAGTAGTACCTTCATCTTTCAACGAATATTGCTGGATTTGTTAATGCCTGAGTCATTTTGTTAGATGCTGGTGATTGAACTCGAATACAACCTCACACCTGCTTTCAAGGTGTGAAAGCAGTGTCTTAGCAGGTTCTCCCATCCTCTAGATAATTGATCTTCCCAGCTAACTCCAGGGACTTTGAATTGCCAGCATCTATATTTCTGTGTCTAGAAAACCATGGAAACCTACTTGGCCTGCCCAAAGGATGGACAGGAAGTGCTAGGCGAATAATACCTCCTGCAGCAATCCTCAGCTAAAGTCAATGTTCTAGCTCCCTCCCTCCCCAAATGGAAAAATTCTAAGGAATTCTCTCTACATGGCTTTAGTGATGGTCCTTTTATTTGTTTCCTTTCTTTCTCTATAATATTTCTCCCGTCTTCTATTTTTGTTCCATGCACTTTTCAAATCTGGGGTCTGCTTCTAGGGGAACTCAAATAAAATAGGCAGCGTCAGCCTGATGATGGGGATCAATTTAAATAAATAATTGCCATACATTTTAGTGATGTACTGATAGATACACACATAAGAGATTGAGAGAGCATAGAGGAAAGTTCATTGGTAATGCTGACTTTGTTGGACAAGCACCACTGTAATGGCCTTACCTCTGGGTGCTCTGCAGGCCCACTGGCACCTGCACTTTCATTCTCTTCTCCTCTTCCTCTTTGCTCCTCAAGCTTCCTGTGATAGTCATTGGATCGAGCTCTTTCAGCCTCTATGAAGGCCTGGCTTGGGATGAAGGAGTCATCACCTGCGGTGTGTCTGGAGCCATCATCACTCCCATCGTCATCCCCGGGATTTTGGAGCATGATGTTATCATCATCAGTGGGTTCCGTAAGCAAAGCCTCAGAAACAGTCTTTTTATCCATCCCGTCATAGCTGCTGACAACTTCGAGGCCAGCTGTGCCCTCCCGGCTCTGCCCTTCAGGTTCTTGACTGTGCTCATGGATGTCTGATGGATTTCCCTCTTCTGTTCCTACATTGGAGTTGCTCTCTTGTTCTGGGTCACTCTGTTCCGGTCCTTCCTTCTGCAACTTGCTTACTTGAGTTGGTGGATCAGATCCTTCTAAAATATCATCAGATTGGGTATCACTGTCTTCCTGCTTGCTATGAGGATGCTCCTGGGAAAATTCACGCTCCTTTTCTTGATCAACGTGGGTACCAACATCACCTGGCTCTTTTCTCTCCTCTTCTCCATTGGAAATATTTGGATCCTGCTCTTGGTTTCCTTGGTCCCTTGGGTCCTGGTTGTGTTTACTGTTCAACTGATGATGTGAACTGTTCGTAGGTTGTTCTTGGTTCTCCTCTCTCTTTGTGGTGCCTTCTTGTTCGTTAGAATCTACAAAGGAACTAACATTAGAAGCAGGGAAATTGTCGTTTTCTGGGAGTTGTTCATTTTGAGGCTCATCCATATCTTCCTTTAGGTCCAATGTACCTTCAGTTGGTGTATACCCAAAATGCACACTTAAGTCATCGTCACCATCCTCTTGATCCTTCAATCCCAGCTCTTGGCTGTCACTCTTACCCTGTTCTGCTGACTGTTCATGGCTTTCTCCTTCTGACTTTAGCATTGAAGATTTTTCAGCCTTAAAACAAATGATAATGTAAAGCCTTGAAACAAATGATAAGGTAATCACATTAACAGTTCATAAGCCAACACTTAATATTCACTATTCTTTTTCTTTAAACATGACTATGTAAACATGTTTATGATGTTCTCCATGTTCTATCGTTCTCCACAGTTTAACCTGAATTTGAAATTTGTAAAATAAAGTGGTTATATAGCACCTTAGCCAAAGAAGTAAAACTCATTAATCCTCATTATTCTTCTAGTAATTGGAGGTAGCTGATGTGAACATCATAGTTTGAAAAATTAAACTGAAACATGAATAGATAATATTTTTGACCATGCTTTGAAATGGAGACTTTGAAGAATTAAATGATATTTATATAATGATATTACTTTTACCTTATGGTTGGAATGGTCTTCTATGGGTACGACGGTTTCCTTTTCATTTTCTGCATCTTCGTCCCTTAAGATGGGGACTGTCGGGTTGTCAGGTATTACTGTTTCAGCAGTGGGTTTGGAATGATCAGATAAGAACTTCGCATTTGTCTGAAAAATTAACAACTAGTTTATATCATTCATGTCTAGATGCTAATTTTAAAATTACTAGGTACTCTTTTGTCATCGTTATTCATAGCTAATACTTCATAAAAGATACTCTCTAGAGTTCTGAGGATACAAACAAATCCTAGAATATAATGTGAAGTGTAAGAAGAATCTCTTAATCATATTTAAGAAAAAGTTATATATGCAGAGGCTGGGCGAAAATAGAGCAACAGGAGTTCAAGAATGGGAATCTTTGAGTTTTGGAATTACTTTCTGTGCTTTTCAAATTTTACAAACCATTCATACTTTATAATTTTGAAAAGTGTTTAGCAGAAAGTTGAAGTTAAATAAAATTAACCATAGGCTGTAGTAGTATACATCTTCTTAATTTACTGTTTAAGTACTTGCTGACAATTAGCAGAAAATATTATAAACCTTCAATATTTATTTGCTTTCCTAACACTGTTGAACTTATCATGGATTAAGAAATCTCTTAATAAAAAACAATTTAGAACTAATTCAAAAACTGTAAAACAAGGCACTTAGCTTTGTAGAGAAAAGTGGTTATGGAGTATTATTTCAGCCAAAGGGATGGCACTATCTATTTTCTAGCAAGGTTGGAGATACAGGTCAAAGCCAGGCGGTGATGTGTGCTATGAGAAATTGAACAAATGGACTTGGAGGGAAGAGGCCTCCCTTCCAATCTTGACTCTCCTCCTTACTCTCTGTGGTTTGACAGGTCATTAATTTGTAATCTGCCATTTCTCAAGGTGGCAAGAAATGTCAAGTCATCTGGGTGCAGTGGCTCATGCCTGTAATCCTAGCACTCTGGAAGGCTAAGGCAAGTGGATTGCTTGAGCTCAGGAGACTAGCCTGAGCAAGAGTGAGACCCCATTTCTAACAACAATAGAAAAACTAGCTGTGTGTTGTGGCTGGTGCCTGTAGTCCCAGCTACTTGGGAGGCCAAGGCAAGAGGATTGCTTGAGCCCAAGAGTTTGAGGTTGCTGTGAGCTGTGATGCCATGGCACTCAACTCCAGGGTGACAGAGTAAGACTCTGTCTCAAAAAAAAAAAAAAAAAAAAAAGAAAGAAAAGAAATATGAAGTGAGCAGAAATATCAAAATAAGGTTATATATATAAGCTATTTATAAATTTTAAGGAGTTACATAACTGAAAATTACCATTGCTATTAGTGATATCGTATAGTGCTAATAACATGCACTGCCCAATATCTGAGATGGATTCACCCATGATATTTATTACAGAGACATTTGGATACTCAGATGGCAGACATATCTAGATGCTAGTGTAAAATTGAGATTCTTTTTGAATTGACTAATTTTTAGTTTAAACAGCAGGCCTGGTCGTGCTGATTGCGTGATACAAAGAAAGCCAGAAAGTATGGGATTTATTTTAGGTTTGGTTTGCTCTCTTGCTTATCTTATTTTCATGTATGAGGAGTAATAATATTTGAGAGAAGTTTCTAAAGAAGTGATAAAGAAAAGGGAAAAGGAGAAAAAATGAGCACTTTGGCAAGTTTGTCCAGAGGGCCATCATGGGAGGCAGTGTTGACAGGGCAGATTTTAAGCCATTAGCAGAGAACTGTTCGTTGTCTCTCACCCCCTCACTCCCTGTCCCCCCCAAGTGAGAAGAAATGTGCAAAAAATTGGCATGTTTTCTTTCAGAACTAGTCCAAAATGGAAATTCTGTCTTATCATTATGCCTGTATCTATATTTATTTAACATGCCCTCTGGAAATTCATCTGGAATCTCCCAGTCACACAGAATTAACTTAC